GGAGAGAGAGAGAGAGAGAGAGAGAGAGAGAGAGAGAGAGAGAGAGAGAGAGAGAGACACGGCTGTTAATAACTTTTTATAAACATTGCCTAGGCCCAGGTTAGGCATCGCCGACGACCACGGTAAATCGAACACACAAAAAAAAATGTTTGTATCATCTAATGTTATAAATAATTATTCTCGGAATATATAAACGGAATACGTGAAATTAATCGCGCCAGTATTTTGACAACTATAGAAGTTAAGCCTGAAGAAAATTCTAAAACTGGATGGGACAGAATATACATACCTATGTAAATAATAAGGGTGCTTCCGGGAACATTCTTTGACGAATCTGCACTGACGATGAAACCGCCGAAGGTATTGACCTGCAAAGATTTTTTCTGTTGCGCAGGTGTGTGCAGGATTCTTCAGCTCCAGGGTCGAAAAACTTGTCAGTCTTCATCAGCATGTCTTAACACAAACGTCGAACGATGTTGCAGTGTTGAACCGAGGAAGTTCGGAGAATCTCAGAAATGTTATATCTTCTACTACCTGCTGAATGCGCACAGGTGGGCGTTCCTCTTTGCAATTTTGCATTTCTGAAATTCTCCATGGTTCAGATACTTTTACTGCGAAATCTTTGAATTATAACGACCTGTGCCTCCGGAATACACAAAGGACCTTTAGTCCTTTCGGCTGAATACAGTTCAACCTGCTTGAAATTATCCACACTTTTTAAATGACCATTAACGGAGGGGATCCAACTGACCTGAACTTTCTCGAGACACATGGCACGAGGAATTCGTTATAAAAGCATCTTCCGACAAATCCCCCTGTCGTAGACACGGAGAAAATTAATATTCGGAAATATATTCGAAAAATTGACGATCGGTAATACTGAGAGAAACTCGAGAAGTAGGTACTCTTGGTTGGAGAAGTAAGTATCTTCCGTGAAAGAGCTCGCGAGTTTCGTCGACTATCGAAATTTCCATTTCTGATTTCTCCAGTTGGACATTCTCCGCGCGACAAACAGCCCTTTCAGCTTCATTGAGAGAGAGAGGACAGACACACACACACACACACACACACACACACGTCAAGGGTGATATCTTCAGTTTGATTGATCTTTTGTGACTTTTTTTTCTGTGATTTCCCGCTTCCAAAGAATTACTGGAGAAACTTTTTCGGCTGCGTCGTTTGCGCTCTGTATAGGCTCTCTCAGCCGATATTCAAATCATCGGTCCGATCGGCTAGATTGTAAGAGTATCGCGATGCGGCGCGCAAAAAACAATGAAAAATGTTATACTATTTGCAAGACCTGCCGTCGATCTTCTCGTCGATTCTTCACTTTATATTTTTCTATTGCCGAGGACACACACAAAGAAGCAACGTGTGCATGTGTGCACATATATACGAGTCGTTTGAAGCCAACCCCTCTTCGTCAAGGGTGGAGCTTAAAATAAGGGTGGCAGCTCTGATCTCCCATTGGGAAACAGGATGAGCGAAGAACGGTGGCTATAGACTGAGAGGCGACATTGGTTGCCTCGAAAATAGAAGCCAGAGATGGAAAGGAAGAGATGGATAGATAGAGGGAAAGGAAGAGGGGGGAGGATGAGAGGAAGAGAGAGAGAGAGAGAGAGAGAGAGAGAGAGAGAGAGAGAGAGAGAGAGAGAGAGAAAAGAAACTTCGTAGTACGAAAAGGACTTCCAAGCCGAAATTCATTGGAGTTGGATGTCGTATAAAATGGACTTGCCGCCTCGTGTTAAGATTAAATTAAAGTTTCTTTGTTTACTTCTTCTTTTCGCCAAGCGATAAAGCGTGTCGTGACGATTCGAGCGAGTGAGTGCGATTTACATAAAGGGACGACACGGATCGGATTTGGACGAGAAATAGTGTGAAACATGCCGTCGATCGAAGCAGAAAATGATGGAGGGATATCGGACGACGGCCGGATGTATAATTTTCACGTGTCAAACAAACTGTATAATTATTTGAGTCAGGAAGGTATTAATATTTTTCTTTGTTTCCATTTCACGTGTTCGCCTGAAAACGCAAGTGCCTAGTCGGAAAGAAAAGACGCTTTCTAAATTTCGTCTGAAATTCCACTTGGAAAGTGACGACAACGGGACGACAGCGAAGTCCATTTGAACGATAAAACATTTTTCAAGGTGCAAGGATCATATGAATTTTGCATGTGTTTTCTGTGCAACCACGTTACCTTCTTCGCTGCCTTGGGCGGCATCTATAATCTCTGTGACAAAGCAGTTTGGCAACAACGTGGAATGTTCATATTTCGATCATTGTAGAAAAACATTTATAATTTACAGAATTGTTTCTGGCAACGAAAACAATATGAAGGGAGGTATTCGATCATCATGGTTAGTTGTCTGCAAAACAAAGGTCTGGCAAGTGTATGCACCTGCTAAGTCCGTTGAGGTTCATCGTCCTTTCCTCATTGGTCAGTGCTGCTATAAACAGCGCCGTACACGTCGAAAAAATTGTTGGCGAATACTAATGAAAATTCTTCACTTGTTTCGGATGAGATTTTAAGATTTCTAAAGGTGTGCAAGAATTTTAGCATTCTATTCGATTTTGTCGAGTGTACATAAAAATTATTAGAAATTACTGTAAATTTTAATATTTTTCTTAATAATTTTTAATAAATTTTGTATTCGTTCAACAATATATATATATATATATATATAGTAGTTCGCGTCTCAGTGTCATGGACTTGAGAAATGCAGAAATATAAACAAATAGAATTTTTAAATAAACTAATGAATACTTCCGTGAGTGATATGTAAATTTTAATACAATACAAGTGTAATTCTCTATAGATAATTCCCTCATCCCGGAAAATCGGATGCCTTTCTTCGAGAAATATTCAGCAGAGATATTGAGAGATATTAAGAAATGAATAAGGTTTCAAGACATGGGATGCACGTGCGCGCACGAATAAAATAACGAGAGATCAAAATTTGGGAAAGAAATATACTTTGTAATTACGAAGCAAACGCGATTATTATATTATATTTGGTGATATTTAGCGTCCGGACACCTTGCTTTACTATGATGCGAGCACCGATAACAAACAGCACCGCGAAAGTTTTTCGTCTTTGTTCCACACACAATTTTCATTCTTCACTCGTGTTCACTGAGAAAGAAAGGGGAATGATGAGTTTTCCAAAATAAAAGGATAAAAGATGCAGCGTCGATCTCAAAGCTCGAGGGTGAATTCGCGCTCGGTGAGAAAATCGAAACTAGACGGCTCGAGACGGTTGCGCCAGTTTGGGGCAGAGCCGGTGAATGCAAAAGTGGGAGCCGCAAAGGAAAAAATGCATTATTCAGGCGAATTTCCATCCGGGAGAAGTCCGGGTAGCTGCGTCGTTAGGTTGCTCTCTCGCTGGCGCTTTAATGACGGCTTGCTCCCTTTGCTTTCGTTTCCTATAACGAGGAGCTTCGACATTGTTACGCGTCATTCGAGCGTTGTATCATTCACGCGAACGGCGATGCGGTCAAAGTTCCTTCCGAATGAAGCGTGTGCGTGTCAAGGAGACGTGCTCGAGGAACGCGATTTAACGCGCGAGTTCATTTCATTCTGAATATCGTCGCGATTTCATCGCAAATTACGATGCTTACGAGCCAATCAAAATCAGTAGAAATATATGTGCGCGGCAAAGGACTCGCGCGTTCTTATCATTTATCTCTCTCACCTTATATCCCATTATCATTTTCTTTCGCGTTGTTTCGGAGATTTCATTCGTCTCCGTGACTACTTATGTTTACGTTTCTTATATTTTTTCGAATCTTTATTCCTCTCTCTCTCTCTCTCTCTCTCTCTCTCTCTCTCTCTCTCTCTCTCTCTCTCTCTCTCTCTCTCTTCCGTCGCGCAGCTCTTTATTGAAACGATTCTAATTTCCCTGACAGTTTATACTTTTGAAATTCGTCACGCGTCCTCAAAGTTACGGAAAATGGAAAAAATTTCGTCGCCCGAATATTGCGGATTGTATGCGATGTCTATAGACGATTCTATTTCATCTGGAAAAAATTGTAATTCGGCTTGAAAGCTTCGGACGTGATTTCGAAATAAAGTCACGACCCCAATATTGCAAGACAAATAATTGCGCCTGCAAAATTTCTATCTGTACGGCGCCGACGAGTTTTTCGATCGCTTCCCGTGATTCTGGGCAAGGTGTAAAAATTCGCGCGAAATTTTGGCGATGATGTTCCCGCATCTCGCTCTCATATTATTGCTCAAATATTCCCATACACTTGCGAGCGCCATACCGCACGTGCATTTCCGCACGGCGTGCGGAATTTCTTTCGCTGCGCTTGACAATGCTTGACGATTCTTCTGAACGACAACAAACGGCAGGTACAATAATCATTAGGAAGCCGCGACCAAGTGGCTGCGGTCGTTTCTGCCTAGACACTCCTACTCGCTGGACGCTTATCCGTAGCTTATTTGTTCTAGCCGAGCGTCTCTCATCATCGCTTCTATTCATATCCTTATCGGTGTCACGTCGACGATCTCCACTGGCGACATCGACGATGACGAGAAATCGCACGACTACGACGCGTATGGAAACTTGAACTCCTGTGTGCTTAACCAAGTGTCGGATCAGTATAGCGGAGTGAATTGAAGCCGGCAGGGGACCGACAGCGCGACTATTTTACGCTACCGCCGTGCAACGCGCGATTGCGATTCGCGTTATTGCCGCGATCGATTTTGCACAGAACAGGCCGCGCATGCCTAGCTAGCACGCCAATCGCATGAACGAGTCTCTAATGTTGTATTAATTTCGTGACGTAACGCGTCAGCGTGACGCAGCTTCTTTTCTTTCCGTTATGGAAATTCGCTAGTGTGAACTTTTCTATTCGATTGTACGCCGAAATGAGGAATCGCGCGCCGTATCACTGTCCAATTCGACACCGAGGTCAAAGAGGTCATTCTAGGCTGTAAGATGCATGTCAAATGGTGAACGCATTTGGAAAAATCATTCTCCGTTCGTTTGCAGGCGGCTGCTCTACCACAGACCTACTGAACTCGCTTTATCTCGCCGACAACTATTATTATCAAGAACACAGCCAAAACGAAGGAGATAAGAACAATAATAATAAAGATTTCATCAAAAGCGCGTCCGGCCCGCAAGAGAAAGAGATGAAAGAGAAAAGCAAGAACGCGGCGCGCTCGCGTCGCGTTAAGGAGAATCAGGAGTTTCTGGAGTTGGCGAAGTTGTTGCCGCTCCCGGCCGCCATTACTACGCAACTGGACAAGGCTAGTATCATCAGGCTGACTACGAGTTATCTGAAGATGAGAGCCGTCTTTCCTCACGGTAATGAATTTATATCTTTATATCTCCACTGTTCCTTCTTTTTTCTTTCTTTTTCTTTTTTTCTTTTCTTAATAATCAACAAAGAACAACAGGCTGTTAATTTCCTTGAAGCTATTCACCGTCGCGGTCACCTCGATTTACGACGCGACACGAGGAGAAGCACTTTCAAAATTCTTGCAAAATACATCGAGGAGGTAAAACAAATTGTCAAAAAACATGTTGATACTCGTGACCGCGATCGAGCCAGTCAGACGGACGAGTCAGACTGCTCGACTGAAAGGCACCGCCGCCGCGTCGTATGGCACGTTGCAGATTTTGCCGCGGCGATTTATCGATTACAGCAAAAGGCAAGCGTGTTCGTGAGCGGATTTGACAGATCTGCTCGTTCGATTGCAAATCTGCAAACGGATCTGTTTATTTCAACGGCTTTCGCAAGAATTTTCAGCTCGCACGCCGTCGCTCGCTCCACCGTCGCTCCACATCACACCGCGAGCAGTCGAAAGCGGCCCGAGCGGCCAACAAATAATTGGACTCGCTACTCGCCGCGCGACGATAGATTAGACAGACGAATTGTTGCGACAGTCGAGTTTAAGCAGCAGCAGCAGCGGCGGCAGCAGTCGATCTCGTCGAGACGGGCGCGAATTCATTCGCGTCCTTTTTTTCTTCCGCTGGCGCGACGGCCGCGGTGAATTCAAGCAGCGGACACTTACGCGCAAAGGGCAAATAGTGTATCGGATGAGATGGATGTGATTGCGCACTTAATGCATTGTTAGTCCCTAGCGCTTTGTAAGCAAAGCATGGGGGCCGTTATAGTGTTACAATGGCCACCCTCTCTCTCTCTCTCTCTCTCTCTCTCTCTCTCTCTCGTTCGATTTCCCCTCTTACGGTACCGGCGAATTGAATTTCAAGTGGCCGCATCCCTCTAGAACGATCCTACCGTCTTTATTCTTGGGAAAAGAGACGCGGACGTCCTCACCACGATAACGCTTTCAGAGGGGGCTTTCTCCCTTCCGCGCGCGCGCGCGCGTGTCTGCCGATTGCTACCGCCGCGAAGAACTTAACCCTTTGCCCCTTATCCGACGACGATTCAGACGGCAGAGGCCGAGTTAAACGGCCGCTCGATCGAGAATTGAAGCGATCGAGAAGCGCGATCTTCCCGCGACGTAAACGCGCTACTTTCCGCGTGTAAACTGCCGTGAGAGGTGAGGTGAGGTGAGGTGACGAGATGACGATCGCTCGATAGGAGAATCTCCACACGATCTCCACACACGTCTCGACACGTCTCGATGAGACGACCTGCTTCTTAACGCCGATTTCCGCGCCACGCTCACGTGTGTATAAAAACATCGTTGCGTTCCAACGATACGAAATTCCCGATGAAACGCCGCGATAGCGAGGCGCGGCGGGTCATTGAGCGCGCAACGCATTGTGCGCGTCGTCAGAAAATCTGACACGTGTCGTCGTTTATTGAAACGCTCGCGATTGGTGATTCCTCCGAGGAGGACGTCGCGTCGGCGGATAATCAAGTCTGAAGGAATGGGTGCTTTGAAAAATACACAACGTTCGGAATGTCTCGCGCGCGCGCGCGCGTGTGAACGCAGCACGCTCGCCGAAAGTTTCTGCGAGAGCAACGAATTTCGACGAGAGTATCAGAGCAATAGCTGATTCGCTCTGATTGTCGACTGCGAGCGAAACGACCGAGCGTCGAGGGATATTTCTCAACGTGGTACATAACCGCAGTGCAATAACCGTGCGATCAATCACTTTGGCGAAATATAGAAAACAAAAATGAAAATTATTAGAACCTCTCTGCACTCATTCACTCTGAATTATCGCGCTTGTTGCGCGCGATTGTACGTTCAAAGTACGTTACGTTCATTGCGTAAGCTGCCGATTATAGTTGAAGCATTATTGTGGACATTATTGTGGACCGTCTGCTTTTAACAATGATCTCGACGGTATGCTAATTCAGTGTCGGTCGATTCGTTGTACTAACCGATTAATAGATGGGATAAACCCGGCTAAGATGTAAACTATTGTTTACTTATTTCTCAAAATTACTAGAAAAAAGGAATTGTTTAGCGATTATTGGAGAAATTACAATATGGCCATCTTTTTCGTATTGTCATCTCATTCGAGTTTATACCCTACCAATTGATTTATTAACATACTTCGTTGATAATTTCGAAGTGAATAACTTTGATGCTAAACGTAATATTAGTTTAGCGACGATGAATTTCTGTGCGTGTCGATTTATTATGCCGTGTGTGGCCAACCAAACTTAAAGAAAATCAAAAAGACGCGGCAGCCGACTGCCGAGAAAACCGTCAGATCGAGCGGTTTGCCCCGCGGGATGGAAATTTTTGCACGATAATAGAAACTACTTCCTTCTGCGTTGGCGCACGACATGCAAGCAAAAACCGAAGTCACACGAGTCATCATTAAATGAGATACATGCTCAATTCCCATTGTTCTTTTCTATTTGCGAATGCTCCGCGTCATATTTTCAATGCTCCAAGTCATAATCAGCTCATAAGTTGCTGTCAGACGTGTCATCCAAGTGCTCATATTTTGTAGCAAGTCGTCATATTTTGTAGCATTATGTCATACAAGAGCTCTTTCGCGGAAAAACAGATGAATGCTCGAAATGCTACCTTAGTTATAAATGCTCAAAATGCTCCTCGTTAAAAAGATTAATAAAGAATTAATATTTTATTTAAGATTTTGTATTTTACATTTTATTTGCTTTCAGTTTTACAAATTAAATTTTAATTTATATTTCTTTTGTAGATTCTACATAGGTACGTACACACACACACACACACACACACACATATGTATATATGTATTTTATCATCAGAGCAGCATATGGAGCACATAGAGCACGAAATGGAGCATGAAATTTTTCGTCAAGAAAGTCGAATTTTGAGCACTCATAAAAGTGCTCTAATTTGTTCTTGTATTTGTTCAAAAAGCAGCTTTTGGAGCACTGGGGCTTTTCTAATATATTTTATGAAATGAGGGAATGCTATAAATGCTACGCCTATCTTTTGAGCATTTTGAGCTATGACATAAGTTTTTGCCTCGGGTAAATGCGCGGACACGCAGACACGTGGTCATAGATTTAACGACGCATTGTGCATGAAACGTCGTTACAAACATACATATCGCATAGAGGATAAGAAGAAAGCTGCGATATCAGCCCGTTTATCCATATGCAAAGAAGATTTCCCCATCTCATTTACGTGATACTGTTAATCCGTGGAAAATTCTCAGAAAGGAAGACGAAAAGTGACGATTTCCGTTTAAGTAATATTTAGTATTTATGGTAATGTTCCAAATGTCTGTGTGTGTGTGTGTGTGTGTGTGTGTGGAGTGGGGGGGGAGGGGTAGTAACGTTTAGCGAGTCTTGTCTGCGAATTCGAATGAATTTTCCAGGCCTTGGTGATGAATGGGGAGCCGCACCACCGCCCAACAACCCTCTGGAATCCGCGATCAAAGAACTGGGCTCTCATCTTTTACAAGTAAGTAAGCGAGGTAAAAGTATCAATACCCGAAGACGTAACTGGACATTTTTATCATTTTTTTGTTTTCTTCAAATATGAATATGTATCCTCGTGTGTCGCGTGTCAACGTTCAACACTGAATACAAAATGTATACGTTACTCCAGCGTCTGTGTAAAAAAAATTTACAACGTAATCAGAAAACACATATCGATTAATGAGGAGCTCATGTTGAAAATTACTGAGAACAATCGCATTGATTAAGCGCATTCAACGGCGCGTAATCTTAAGTGTATCGTCTACAATTACCGATTCAATTTCTTTTTCGTGTGTTTTTTTGTTTTTAACAATTTCATTTCTTTCCTGTATGCTCTTTTTGAGATCTAGGCGATAATATATGTATTTATCCATCAATCTCTCTCTCTCTCTCTCTCTCTCTCTCTCTCTCTCATTAAATTTACATGTATAATAATTCTCAGCGATTAAGATTCTCACGAGCAATCATTTCTGTCTGCAGACTCTGGATGGATTTATATTCGTCGTGGCGCCAGACGGAAAAATTATGTACATAAGCGAGACTGCCAGCGTACACTTAGGATTGTCCCAGGTCGGAGATATCCCCTCATTTATTTAATTAAGATTCGCGAGAAAAGTTGACTCGACGCGACTTGAGCGAATACACTTGCACGATATAATAGGTACCTTAAAGAATTGCGTGCAGCAGTGCGACATGCAAGTATTTACTTCATTAAAGCCGAAGTAAATAGCGACAATGTGTTAAATAATGTGATAGATAAGGGAACGGCGAAGTTCGCGTCTCACTGCGGAAACCGCTGACAGAAGTTGTTCGTGCGTGCAGGTGGAATTAACGGGTAACAGCATATTCGAGTATATTTATCCGGACGATCGCAACGAGATGATCTCCATGCTGAATCTCCCGTCCAATTCCCCGGATCACCGCTTTACATATCCGCCGCCGAATTCGCGAGGCGAGATAGAGCTGGAACGTGCCTTTCTTCTCAGGATGAAGTGCATCCTGGCCAAGAGGAACGCGGGCCTCGTCTCCGAAGGATACAAGGTAAATACGCACGCCCCCTCTCGTGAGCTCTCTCGTAAACATTCGACACGTTCTCGGCAGAGAGAAATCTCTCGTCAGTCACTCCCTAATTACTCGTTACGTCGAATGCTCAGTTATCGATCATTTTCCAATTCCGCAAAGCGCAAGATGGTAAGATTACCGGCGAGCAGAACAGACCGCGCGCGAAATCACGGGGGGGAGGGGGGAGGGGGGAGGGGGAGCGAGAACAAACGGGCGATTAGCATGAGCTTAAGTTTGTGACTTTTCATACAGGAAATCATAAAAAGAATGAAAAGTTGAAACTCTAAGTAACAGGCAAGAACTGCTTAGCTAAGTAGGGACACCATTGTTGCGGTCACGCGCCCGGGAGGAAATGCGCACCAGGTAGGTACACGGCCGGGGCCCGGCCGAGGGAGAAGGAGAACGAGAATTACGCTCCGAGAGCGTATATCGCTGTCTGTGATATTTCTCCTACATTCTCCTTTTTAGTGATGTATAACGTATGTTGTACACAGGGTAGAGCGATATAACGCTCATGCGCAGGTGGAACGGACAGCCGAGAGCCGGACAGGCTCTGCGAGAGTCCTCTAGCCATCTTGCAGATCTTGCATCTCGCGGTGCTTACTAAGGATTTAATTGAACGATATTGACGATCGTCCTGCTATCGCTCGTGCTATCGTCTCCCGCGCGCTCATTCGCCGACATTGTTTGACTCATTCCTCTCTGGCATATCAAAAATAAATATAATTATACGTATCGGATTAGATAGAAAGAAGAGTATCAGCCATTAGTCCGTCAGTCAATAGCGATATTTTTCACCCGTGAACTCTCGCAATGTATCTCACGCCTAGGTACACTCTCACTTCCTCATTATTTCTCCTCCGCTTCTTGAGACAATCGTCGCCTCTTCTGATCCAACTGCTAAATGTTGCAATTTGTGCCGAAAAATGGGATAGGCGGCAACTGGGCAACTGGATTAATTTCCGCCAACATGTCGAGCCAACATAGCGAGGGGTCTCGCTTAGCCGACGTGTCATCAACGTCACGCCATTAGTCAGACTTACTCGCGACAGCAATGCGCAGGACACGCGTGCGCGCGCGCGAAAAATACGCCGAATGACCGCGAAAGATCGCGGATCAGCGCTGATCTGATTTCACGAGAGAGCTCGCGCGACGCCTTAATTTTCCGAAATCCGAAATCCGAAGCCAAACCTTCGACATATGTCCCGGCAATAACGACGCGACGCGGGGCGGCGACAGAGGAGCATCCCTACGCGCGGCACGTAGAGCTAGGCGCCGGCTAACCAGGGAAGACGGCCCTCGTGGAGGGAAATGTTTGGCAAATAGCTCTTTCGTGCCACAATATCACGCGATGACCGTGGACCCTCGACAAAATCGCGTTCACGATGGATCCCCCAATGGGCGTCGGGCGAAGTCATGAATGCAACCCCTGCGAGAGAGCTAGCGCGGGCCGAGAGTCAGGACACGCGCGCGCGCGGGGCCGGGGGTGAGTTTTCCTCTATGGCACTTGGCCGCACAAAGAGCGTGGATCGTAGTTGGCTTCTCTCTTTGTCGACGCGCGAGCGTGGATTTAACGGCGAATTAACGAATGCACGCGACTCTCAAGAGCGACCGCGCGAGAACACGCCGCTTGTTTCGTCTCGCTCATTATGCGGCGCGGCGCGGCGCGGGGAGATTCGCGAGTCTCCGCGAGGTGTTCGATCCTGGGGTGATTTATTCACGCGAGCTATCTGAACACTCGCGCAATCCGGATCACGAGAGCTGAGCGCATACGCGCGACTCGATATTTCGGTCGAGAAGAGAAATGTAAAGAAATATTTCATTCGGTTCCCGACGTTTCGCGGACGACGTTCCGGTTCGCTTGACTTCTTCGAGGAGAAGAGCATTCTGCAAACTTCCAGGTCGCCTCTCTCTCTCTCTCTCCCTCTCTCTCTCTCTCTCTCTCTCTCTCTCTCTCTCTCCTCTCTCTCTCTCTCTCTCTCTCTCTCGCTGAAGAGGCGAAAAGAGGGACGTTCGCGGAACATCGAGGACACAAATCCACGGTGGTAGCTGATACCAAATCAAGCCGATCTGCTCGACTTTTCGTGTCTTAACAAGGCCTCGTTCTCAGCTCCGCTCGTCATCGATAACGACGACGACGACGACGACGAGGACGACGGTTACTGTCGGGTCCCGGGGAGCACACACGCGCGAGTCTACTTTCAGGATAAGATTGGACGCGCCCTCGTGTCAAATTATACTCTGCCTTAACTCTTCGCGTTCCCCGCGCGCGATATGCAGAGGGACATTGCATACGAGGTGATATATGCAACGCGGGCATAATAAGGAGCCTATTTGCTTCACAAATACGCCCCCGAGCCACTCGAGACGGGAGCGTGAGCTTCCGCTTTTTTTCCTATCATCGGCCTTACATTCAATTAAGCAGGAATTGTTAATTTGCCGGGAGCACGTTGTTTCGCGCGCGCGCGCGCGCGCGAGGGTACGTTGCAGTCGAGTGTCGCACTTATCGCTCGACCGAAAGAATAACGCGCAAGCCTCTAACGCGCCGAGCTGAGCCGAGCGTGCGCGCGCGCGCGCGCGCGCGCGTGAATGCATCTGTGCACGCGACCACGATGCATTGCGATGTATCGTAAGAGTATGCGTACACGAATTTTGCCGCGCGATTACACTCCGGAGGTGGGAAGCGTCCGAGAGAATGCCGAAGAGGGATTTATCCGCTCGAAAATTCGCTCGCGTGAAGAGTACTCGTATTTCCATTGAAATGCCGCACTCACACCGAGAGAGAAATGCACACTCTCAGTGCACACATACAGTGATGTAACGAACGTGAAGCTGCGTGTGCGTGCGTGTGTTACAGATTTCGCAGTAGAAGTCTTGTTTCCGGAAACCGGCGAGAATCAGACAGATGGGGTACAAGAGGGAGGAGAAACAGAAAGAGAGAGAGAGAGAGAGAGAGAGAGAGAGAGAGAGAGAGAGAGAGAGGGAGAGAGGGAGAGGGAGAGAGAGAGAGAGGAACAAAGTGGGAACGTTTCTATTGTAAATCAGTGGGTGCACTCGCGTGCTGATTATATCGATAAAATACTCCTCTGACTGATTGACTGAGATCAGAAACACTTGCAACTAGTTGAAAGTCAGTTTGAAACAAGTCAGAAATGTCGCGAAAGGGCTAATGACGATCTTTCGCGAAATATTCGCGGTGTTCCAGGTGATACATTGTTCAGGTTACCTGAAATGCGTCTTCGACGGACCTGTGGAGTACGAGGACAGCCTTACCCGAAACGTCGGTCTCATCCGAAACGTCGGCCTATTGGCGGTCGGCCATTCGCTGCCGACGAGTTCCATAACCGAAATTAAATTGCACCAAAACATGTTCATGTTCCGGGCATCGCTCGACCTGAAGCTCATATTTCTCGACGCGAGGTAAGCTTTCGTTAACATATATAAGCCGAGCCATATATCGGCCTCCGACCGATCGCGAGATCGGTCAGAGAACAGTTCGCGATTAGTTCGCGAGCCGGAAATTCCATCGACTCTCTGCCGACGTAACGTGACGGACGGACCGACGACGACGCTAGCTAGCGACGAGAGATTCCCAAAAGTATCCAAGAGTTTGAAATTTTGTATAAAAATATCGTAGAAAACTCGCGTAGAAATGATCCCGCGGAAGAGAAAAAGGGAATATCCTCTTTCTCGTGGAATTTTGTCCACGGCAGGAAGCGTGTGCGGCGTGTTGACTCGAGCATCGGGAGACGCGGCGGATTATTTATTTCCAATGTAATTATAGTCGAGTGTCGTATTGCGCCATTAATATTTCGATGGAGGGCCCGCACGGAGGCCCCTTTTCGACCGCGCGCAGGGCAAAAGAGTAGGGCAGGGGGTATGGGTGGGTGGGGGGGGAGTGGGGGGAGACGAGGTATGACCATTAAAATCAGTTTCGTGTTACCGCGCGCTGCCGCGTATCCTCGTTCTTTTTTTCCTTTTTCTTTTTTTCTTCCTTCTCCTCCTTCCATTCGTGGCAAATAAATATCCGCTACCGGCGCGGCGCGGCGGTGGGAGCATTACATTCGCTCGCTGGGAAACGAACATGTGACGCGGTATAAATATAGCGCGGATAGAAGCGTGCGCGATGAAATTTTATACACACGTCGATCGAATAGGCTCGCGCGGATTGTGCAAACTCGCGCAACGCTCGCGCATCGTAAACGCCCGACGAAAACAAGCCCGGCTCGAATGACGCGAGTCGACGGGCAAGCCGTGATGCTTCTTTCGGCTGTAGCCGCGTAAACTCCGGGAACGTTGCGTGGACAAAAAATTGCCCGCGATTTTCGTACGCTGCGCGTACGTTCTTTACCATGCGACATCGGTGCTGTCCTCACTGAAATATTGCATATTAAAATGTTAGTGCTAGTTGGCAGAATCTCGCTGAGAAAGATCATCGGTTAGTGATAAAACTCACACAGTTGGACATGCATATGAGAGAAACACAGATGAAACGGACATTAAGATATAGAATATTGTAATAAATAATAAATAAAAAATACAGAAAAGTCGTTGGTGTGCAGCTTGCGAACACAGACACGGTATCGTCGCGCAAGCACGTAGACAGAGAGTTGGATCTTATGAATAAGCGAGATGAGCGAGATTGAACATCGATGAAAGACACGGAGAAAAATGTTTCCTATTAAACGAGGGAATTTTCTAGTGTAATATCAACATCTCGAATTAGCGAATTCATTGCTTAAGAGATATATCATCACCCACTTGTGTCTGACGTGCTGTTACAGAGTAGCTCATTTGACAGGCTACGATCCGCCAGACCTCATCGAGAAGACCTTGTACCACTATGTGCACGCGGCTGATGTTGTGCATTTGAGACAAGCTCATCGTTTGCGTAAGTGTCCTTTCTCATATCGCTCGACGCGACTAATACGACGCGACTCCCGCCGCGGATGACTTAACTCTTTCAGCCATACATTTTATTTCTCGATGGAATTTTTTCAAACGTAATATCCAGATATTGTAGGATATCGTAAAGTGTTTTTAATAAATTGTTAATATTGCGATGTGTCGATTCCTAATAAAGTTTGCTCGCAAGTAAATTTTTCTAAAAAAAATTATCAATTTTTTCATTTCCATTTGTTTCTAGCGAGTAAACGATTAAATATTTAAACTATATTCTATTTATTTTTATTTTCTTATGCTTCTGAGAGTGTACAGTCGAATAATACGGTCCTGTGACTGTGACTGCCTAAAAGTTAGTTAATAAAACCACATCAAAAATGAAGAAAATTTATATGGGACAATGTGTGTCAACCGCTGTGGCTCAAAACGTTAAGCGAAAATGGTTTCGCGTAAATTTGTTCACTCGTCTTCTAATAGCGCAGAAATAATAGCGCTGTTAATCAAAATGCGTGTCGATCTGTTCGAGCATTTCGGTTGCTAAGATAAGCTGAATCAACACGCTGTCGGTCGTATTTATCATCAGATTTAGTAATTTAATCTTCCGACGAGAGAGTTAGTAGAGTAGTATTATTCACAATATTATGGTTAGATCGATCGTGTGATGGTTCAAAGAGCATCTACGCATCATATATGTCACGCTTCAATTTCGTTAACCTTGCACAGTGTCGATTAAATTTCGTAGCACAAATTGCTAAGTCGGGTTGTTCATCCGACTTGATTTCCGTCCAATTGCTGATCCGATTGCTGCAGCTTTCGCAATAAAATTTGTATTTGAGACTCGGTTCTTTCTATTCAATCAATTTCGTCCGGTGTCTCACACAGCTCGCGTCAAGTTTCTCTTCGAGATATATACGCCGAAGAAGGCGTATTTCTTCCAATCTTTCACTTCTCAATGGAACAGCGACTCGAATGGATCGCCAGACTCGTGAATGCTGTTTTTCGCGGATGCATTTCGTCGTTTCCGCATTTTTCTCGATCACAGCGGTCAACATTTATTTCTGAATGAGAGAGAGAGAGAGAGAGAGAGAGAGAGAGAGAGAGAGAGAGAGAGAGAGAGAGAGAATCAATCGTCCTGCAAATCCAAAAGAGCAACAACTTCGAAACAAACGTTCGAAAATATTTTCCTCGATATTTTTCCGTCGGCAGGAGGTCCGACGAAAATTTTCTCAAACGACATCGACGTGGCACTCGAAGAGGATAGGCTCTTCGGGGAACGAAAGCAGCTGACGCTGCTTAACTCGGCGACACGCCCTTACCTCGCTGACGAAATATTCTTTGATCTTTGCTCACGTTTTTCGCGCGCGCAGACAGCTACGTATTTCCACTCTTTTCCATTTTTCCTCTCTCTCGGAGCACCGTCGCGCTTATTCTAAGTATGTGCACACACGTGGTGTAGGATGTACCTGGGGTGTACATTATTGATTGAACAATGCTGCCACAGCGCGTCGACGAAAAGAGGCTGTCTGCGCGCGTGTGTGTCTGTGTGTGTGTGTGTGTGTGTGTGTGTCGCGTGAAAGAGAGGGAGGAAAAGCGTGTCTGTAATATGCGCGCGCGCGTGTGTGTGTGTGTGTGTGTGTGTGTGCGACAATGAGAGGCGCAAGAAGGAGAGCGAGGAGAAGCGAGAGAGATTTAGCGAGAGGTGAGCGCGAGGGAGGAGACTGTTACTGCTATCATTGTTTGAACAGACTCGCAGTTTCACGAGCGCGACTCGAAGGGAGTCTGACATAATGCCACTAATGTCTGCGCTTGCGGATTGCGCGATCGCCGTCGTTTTACTCGATTTTTCTCACAATTCGGCAGCGCTAGCACACCCCCCATCAACAGGATTTATCTTAAGTGGTTGAATATTAAAATAAAAAAAAAAAAGAAAAAGAGGAGAGAGAGAGAGAGAGAGAGAGAGAGAGAAAGGGTAAAGAAAGGAATCCTCCTTTAATCATGAAGCTTCGCGATCGTTCAATTTGCTCGGATGCTGTGACGCGGTCGTGGACCGAGTCGAATTCCTTCCCCTTTGTCGCATGAGAGAACGAACAAACCGGTACCGGCGAAACTGAATTAATCACTCTTATCGCGTCCCTTTCACTACGCTCCGATTCTCCGCTAAAAGTTCACGTCTAGCCGTTACTTTGTCGGCAGTGTTGTGCAAGGGTCAAGTGACGACTAGGTACTACAGGTTCCTGACGAAGAATGGCGGCTGGGTGTGGATGCAGTCGTACGTGACGATCGTGCACAATTCGAGGAGCTCGCGGCCGCACTGCATCGTCTCCGTCAACTACGTGTTAACGGCCGCCGAGAATGCGGGCTTGATTCTCAACTGCGAGCAGAAGTTGCCCTGCTCGAGTCCCGGCAACCCACCGAGCGCGCCCCTTTCGACGCCCGCGGTCGGCGCGAACGACCTGGACAATCACAGCCCGAGTCCACCTTCCTATCGCGCCGGCAGGACCAAGGAACCGCCCGACACCGACTACACCGACAGCTCCGGATACCACAACTCGGATTACATCGCGACGGGTGCGACGAATCACAATCACTACCTGTCGCCGTCGCCGTACGCACCGCATAGCGTGGACGGGGCGGCCCACGGGGAAGACGCTTATTACAATCCGGATATGTTCTACCAATTCAATGGTAAGTTTTTTGCTACGAATTATTCGTTGGTTGATTTCGCGATGAAGTCAAGTCAAATGTATCGTCGGCAACACCACAGTTGATCGTTAAATATCGAGTTCCACAAATAATATCTTGAATATTAATTTCTCACGTTAACTCACTGCACCTTCCTTCTTGAAAGC